GGAAGAGTTGGGTATTGATACAAATTTTTTGTTGCCAAATGTAAAACTGCAATTATTTACAAAAAGTGTAGGATGTATGTAAATTAGCCTCGTAAAAACTATTTACTAGCCCAACATTTGTTTGTTATTCAACCCAATATTCATTTTCTACTTGGCCTACCTTTCTCCTCATTTGCCCATTCTGGTTTCCTTTCTTTGAGTCACTCAAGACCTTGTCTTGCAACCCAAATTCTAACACCCCATTTATATCACCCAAAATATTTTTACTATTTATGAAGTCACTTTATTTTCATAAATAGTCTGTTTCATAATGTGATGCAATTAATTATTATTATTTACATTAAATCGAGTAATTACTTTAAAGTCTAAGTGATAGAGCATTTATTTGGTTTTAATTTTAAAATCGAATTTATTTAGCCAAGTATCAGTGTTATTTTTAAGATAAAATCGAGCTTTAGAATAGTCAGAATTTCATTAAAGCGGACCGAAGCCGAATGCTTAATTTATTCGAACCTAATAATTTTCGAGTGAGTCCAATTATTTTAGCCGGCCCATTTAATTTAATCGAGCCTATGTTCGATTTTATTTCGGCCCGTTTTATTTAATCGAGCTCATGTTCGATTTTAATTTAGTCTATTTTAAAATCGAGCTTATGTTCGGTTTTTTAAATACGAGCCCAATTATTTTAGTAAAGTCGACCGACTAAATTAATTTAGTCTAAGTCTCGTTATTTTTTATAATTTACCCGAACGATTTATTTTAAGCCAAGTCCATTGTTCGGTTGTTATCTAGCCCGATTACATAGCCGATTTTAGAGCCCGAGTTTAGTAATTTTAAGCCCGATTTTAAAATGCTAAAATTCCAATATTGAGCCCATTAAGGCCATAAAACCCTAACACTCCCTCGTCTATATATATAGCACATTATCCATTGCAAACCCTAGCCCAACATCCCATCTCACTTCATCTTCTCCACTTCCACCATGAAAATCCGACCACCCTTCATCTTTTCAGGCAAAACCCCCGAGCTCCGGCGACCACCCTTCACGCCGGCGAAGCTCGAGGCCCTTCCTCAACGTTTTCAAGTCAACAAGTCATCTCCGGCAAGCTCGCAGCCCCTCCACGCCGTTGCATCACTTCGATCTTCTATTTTC